TAATGACTTCGGTGTACTATGAATGATGGTGGGAGAGGTGTTTGCTTGTAGTAAAAGTCCAAAATCTGTGTCCTCCTTCACACTTTTCAAAGCCGGTTACGGGGCCAGAATAGAGTCTTTGCAAGGCCGATTTTGGCCCTCAGGCTTTGGGGTTATGTTTGACACCCGTGATTCAGTCTTTTTAAGGTTTCAGTTAATTCTAGCAAGGTAGTAAGCCATATCATTTTTCAGGAAAAATGCCATTATAAATCCTCCAAAAGAAACAAACAGTTCAGTGACATAAATAAACTGAGGTGAAGCCTCGCAGACAACCAGTGACTACAGCTGCAATTTCTCACCACTAAGAATTCCTGGCAGTTTGAGGCATCTGAGGGGACAGAGTACCATAGAAGGCTTCACATGCAGATGAATTAAGCCACAAAATGTACACTTGGCGGTTTCAGTTATTCAGATTTATGATATGTTTCTTTTGTTTTTCTGGCTCTGATCCAACCGCTGACAGTTGCACAAGCCTGCGCGTCCCTGCTATGTAATATCACAGATTTGTCAGACATGCAGGTGGACTGCACTGCCCCTCGCGATGGAATAAATACAAAAGTACCCACTTAATGAAACTTAATTTGATTGATATAAGCACTCGGAGTGCCTGTGTATGCCTGTGTGTGCCCTAACAGTAGAGAGTGTGTTTAAAGCCCAAAGAGATACACATAAACACACACTCATAGTTAAACAGGCAGGTCTTTGTGCGACTAGCTTGCATAACTGCTCAAGGCTGCACAGAGCACAGTTTCAGATGAAGACGCTCCAAAAACAGAGTTATGTGTTGGCTAAATAGTCAGTAGTGCCATTCAGAAACTAAATAAATGTAAAAAGAAAATCTGAAATGTGCGCGCAACACTTTTGATGAACAACTTAATAGAAAACATATTCCTTTTTTAAACCAAGCTTTATGCTGCTCATTTGTGTTCGATTTCATAACCAAATCTATATTTGTTCCAAGCATACTGCACAAGTTGTATGCGACCTAATGCCTGTAAAATATGCACCCGCCCACACAAACTGAGTGGGTGCTTCTACAAAGGGTAATACGGTAGAAATGCTGCCTGTTTCCAGACGTCCCCTTGGAACGGGAGAGGCACAGTGGAGGTTTGCCCAATATCCTCACAGCAGCCCACTCGTGAGGGAGGGAGAGAGGGAGGGATGGAGATACAAAGAAAGAGAGAGAAAACATCCTACTCTCTAATGCTGCATTTGACTTTTGCTTTTCTCTCACACTGGACTTCACACTTTCCCTGGAATTTCAGCGACGTAGTTACTGCAGGTTTATTGTTATTTATAAAGATTCTGGGATTTTTTCAAAGGATCTTAAAGCCATTTGGCATACCTTTGGAGATGCTCTAAGGAAATATTTCAAGTCAGAGTTTTATATTCCACTAGCATGGCCCGTGGAATTGAATCTTTAGTGTCTTTGAACCCTTTTTACTCTGTGGATTCGGCGCAGGGAGAACACTCTGACAACTGCAAGTTCTGGCTGTTGGATCTGGGTAGGTGCCATGTGTAGGACAAAAGTAAATTGCTTCCTCTTATCCTGTTAATGCTAGATTTGCTTCTTATGCAGTGTGCTTGGGAAAACACAAATGATAAGTTGCGCTAAGTTGTTCTGGTTTAGCGGCTTGCTGCTATTGTTTGTTCCTCTGGTGAAAATGTAACGAAAGCATAACATTAGAATCTCAATTAGACTATGCCTCTGGTCTTATGACATTAAAACGGGTCTTTTTTTGCTCTAAAGTGCGACATTGAAGCTCCAGCTGTGCAAGAAACAACTGCAACTCTACATTTGTCGTTTTGACAGCTTGTCCTTATTTGCTGGGTTTACATCAGCTATTTTTGTACGGGCTTTGTGCTGCAATTTCACAGTTCATCTGTCGATCATGTGGTGGCATTATAGCTGCAAAAGTAATTTGGTGAATGCATCGTTACATAATGAAATATTAAAATTCACTAAAATCACCAGGATAAGATTATGTCTTCATTCCTGTTGAAATCCAGGTTAGGCTCACAGATGGACAGAGGGTGTTGTTGAGAAAAGAGAGAATGATGAGGTCAAACTGACGAGAAGGGGAGAATGAGGACTCTTAAACAATGGAATCCCTTTCCTTTTTAATGTTTTCACAGGTGTCTGCTAGATACAGTGTGATATAGCATTACAAATCACCCAAATATGCACTAG